AGGGGAGAGGAGAGGAGAGGAGAGGAGAGGAGAGGAGAGGAGAGGAGAGGAGAAAGCAAGCCTCTAGGTCCGGGATTCAAACCATGGTTGGCCATGTGGGAGTCTAGTGCCCTTAACCACCACACCACCTGCCAGCGCCCAGTCTCTTCAAATTCTAACAATCAAGTTCAACCAAAATACTACTTTCAGATTAATATCACTAAAATAGCACTCTCAGCTTGCCTCTCTTATGTGTAAAAATCTTTAAAAGCTCCAAAATAGAAAACGTGACTCCAAAATAGAAAAATACTTGTAGTACATTAAACAGAAAAGCAAAATTCAAAAGTAAATCAATTATTTTCTTAAGAAGATTTCATTGTGTATATACATATTAATAAGAACAAGAAAAGAACACAAAATAATAAGAGAATTAATTCACACGTACTTATCAATATTTCCTGTTTGTTGGTATAATGATATTCATGAAACAAAATCTTCCAGTGCTCACTAATTGCTTATGTATCATAAAGCTTAACCTCTGTAACCTGATTCCTGAACCTAGCTTTCCAGCTCATTTTTCATCCCTCCTTTTCTCACAACCTGAAACTCTAGACAAACTACATCCCATGCCTCATCTGGGTTGCTGCACTACTCTTTTCCAGCAATGGGCCCTACTCACATCAGATCCTTCAGCAAGCATGTTCTTTTCCTCCATTTCTGAGTATTCAAATCCTTCCAAACTGTCCTTTACTATTTAGTTCAAATAATACATTTTCTATAAAACCATTCCTGTTATTTCTTTTCTCAAAACCCCAATAAGCATTTCATCTATTTATTTAGTATTTAATGTCATATGTTCCATTTTGTATTGTGGTAGGTATGTGTGTGAATATGAATACCCTCCTTGCAGCTGGCAGGTGCAGTAGTGGATAAGGTGCTGGACTTCCACGTAATTAAACATGGCTCAAGTCCCAGTTCTGTTGGTTTGAAAATCACACCCTGCATGTGTGCGTGCATGCCCAAAATCCCAGGAGGAGAATGGAGGAGAGGGGATTGTGGTGTAGCCATACCTCCCAGGGAATGATTTCTTTCCCTTTCACTGTCTCTGCCTATCTCCGAGTGCATAAGCCCTACAGCAAAAACCTTTAAAGAAAAAAAAAAGTAGCCCCTTTCAGGGTAGTGACCTTGTTTTAGCCATCTTTGTACTCAAGGAATAACAGTGTCTTTCTGCATAGATACGTAGTATGAGTGAGTAATTTCCTTCAAAAGGAAAGGGTCAAGATGACTAAAATTCAATTATGGTTTCCCTTTTTTCCCCCTACTCAAGTTTATATCTTAGCCTAACTTCTTACCTGAAGATACGTTATTCTGCGCTGGACCAGCTCTGTCAGATCTTTGGCCTCTTTTTCCCGCCAATCACCTGCTCCATCTGTTTGACTGAGGTAGTATAGATCCGTCATTATAGACCTGTTAAAGAAAACAACATTGGTGGTCTAACTTATCCGTACTGCTTCACTGGGTTACTGAAAGTCATGAAAAAAGAGCCAAATTCTTCAAAGGTTGATGCTCATATTGATGCTGGTATTCATCTTTTATTTTCTGTTAGGGTAGTGAGATTCAGAAATAAGTCTCTCCCATCCAAGATTCATTCCTATAATTAATTTTTACTGTTCAGAAACAAACGAAAACATTTTTTTTTTTTTTTTTTTAGGATAGTCAGCTGAATTTTTTTCAACACTGACTAGTGCTATAGAGATCTGGGGGAAGGAGATACCCATAGCAAAGAAATATATATATTAATATAAGGGAAAGAAATAAGTTGGTGTCAGCATTTGAACTAGAACAGAGAGTTTCATTTTATCTTTAGTGCCACTATTCAGCCACCTGACACAGCACTTAAACAATGGTCTGAACCAAGAATCAGCAAACTTTTTCTTTAAAGAGCTACATAGTAAATATTTTAAGCTTTGCAGTTTTGGTTGCAAAAAAAGTATCATAGGTAACAGATAAATGAATGGGTGTGGCTGTGTTCCAGTAAAACTGTATTTACAAAACCAGGCAATGAGCCAGATTTGGCCCTTGGGCCATAATTTGCTGATCCCTTGTATAAATTTATATAAAATAATTGTTAAGATACTTTCCCACTCTGTGTAACATAAGTAATTTCAATGATAACATTCTGGATTTCCTGCAGAGTAAACTAAAATCCCCAGTAAAGTAGGAAGGGAAACGTCGGGGCTAGTACACATTGTTTTATTTATGCAGCATTAAAGAAAAGCAATGAATTGTACTTACTCACTAAAAAACTAAAAAGGAAGCCTCTTCTCTAACATCGCCCACCATCCTGTCAGCAATTGCATAGCTATAATTTGTGACTATGTATCACCACTAGCCCTACTAGCAACTTAGCCACCATACCTCATCAGAATTATTATAATGGTATCCTAACTGGTCTTCCTTCTTCCACACTTACATCGACACCCTATTCTCATTATAGCAGCCAGATTCTGTTAAAAACATCAGTCAAATGATATTACTCCCTTGTTCCTCATTATGAACTGGCTCTTCAAAGTGACCACTTTGATCTACAAGGCCTCATACAATACTACCTGCCATTACCTCTTTGATTTCCTCTCCTACTACTGTCCTCCTTGCCTACTCTATTTCAGTCACACTGGTCTTGGTGCTAACTCCTGAAAATGCCAGTCATGTTCTTATTCCAAGTCTTTTTCATCTGGTCCCCCTTGCCCTGGAATCCACACGGTTCATCCAAATGTCCTTCAAATTTTTGCTCAAATGTTACCTTTTCCCTAAAGCTTTTCCAGATTATCCTGCTTAAAAATTCAAACTGCTCACCATCCCACCTCTCTTCTCCTTTCCTAACTGATTTTTTTCCAAGCAGTTATCATCGTCTAATAGGGCATATGAATTGCCTCTTTAAATTATCTTCCTTCCCTTAGAATATAATCTCCATGAAAACACGTCTTTTTAATTTAAAAACAAACAAACACACACAAAAAAAACGTTCAGCATTTGGAACAGCGTTGGTCATAGCCAAAATGCTTAATGAAAATCTTTTTTTTTTTTTTGGAGAGGTTTTTGCTATAGGGCGCGTGCACTCGCCAGACAGACAGAGAGAGACAGAGAGTCAGAAAGCGAGAAATCACCCCCCTGGGGGGATGGCCACGCAGCAATCCCTTCTCCTCCATTCTCCTCTCGGGATCTTGGGCACACACGCACACGTGCCCAGTGTGAGTTTTAAGCCACCGGGTCGACTACGTGGGAGTCCAACGACATAGCCATTATGGTAACTGCTGGTCCCCTTAATAAAAATCTTTGAACAGATAAAGTAAATTTAAAAATAGCAAAAAAGAAAAAATCTTTCAGAGTCTTAATGAGGTAATGATTATTATTTTAATCTTTCAGAAATCCGATTAGGTGGGAGAGAGGTTTAGGGAACCATCGTTAACTAGTTGCAGCTCTAGCTTTAGCCCTTCTCTAGACTTTGTATTAGCTCCTCTGTTGAAGGTATGTTGAAGAGTATGCAGAATACACTTGTAAACATTACAAAGTTAGAAACTTACTTACATTGGTCAGAAAAGAGTATGTGTGTGTATGATATATATTTTACATACACACACACACACACACACACACTTCTAGTAATCACCTACATGATCGTATTACCTAAAATCATAAAGCATTAGCTGAAATTTCCAAGAATACCTACAGAAAATTGGTCAATAATATTAAGTAAAAATAACAGTGAACAGTTACTGAGCTCTTATTGTAGGCCAAACACCTGTTATAGGTGTTTTACATCATTTCATTTAATCCTCACCACTACCTTATAAATTAGATAAAGGTTAAATAATTTGCTCAAAGTTACAAAATTCAGAAATGCTAGAGTGGAAATTCAAATCAAGGCAATGTGATTGATTCTAAAACTTAGGCTTTTTAACTGCCACATATATCACAGTAGGAGGTCCAGAGCACAATGATGTGGACTCTATTCAAAATCAGAAAATATGAATCAAAAAGAGAGAGCTTTAAGAGCCAGACAGATCTGTTTCTCAATTTTTGGCACCTCTTCTTTCTTTGGGCCTGAAAAGTTATTTTAACATCTTTTGAGACTTAGTTACTTCATTTTAAGATAAATATCATATTGGGTTGTTGAAAAAGTCATGATATTTTTCTATGCTTTTCTATGCAAAAAAATGTGTCATGACTTTTCTGATGACCCAATAATACCTTTTCATATACCTATTTTAAAAGGAATTAGTGATAATACATATACAATAGTAATTTATATGATAGCTCCTAGGTTTTTTAATGCTAAAAGCCTTCAGTGAGTTGCTTCAGAGCTTCTTGTGCCTTAGGAGTACCCACTACTAACTGTATAAGGAGGATACCTTGGGTGTGGGTGATAATAATACATGGTACTGAGGGCCAGTTATAAAAATGATTCCCATACGGGTTCCTATAATATCCTGAAGAAGGGGATTAGTCAACAAGAAGGACTCACTCAACAGATGATGAATCCAGACCTCAACAACTATAATTTATACATATACTCTGGAATATGAGGGGACCTCAAAACATTCACTGAAAAATGGAATTAAAGTATGAGTTTATTTTTGTGCAACCCCCCTGAAATCTAGACATAGTTTTTTTTCCCCTCACATGCATTTTCCTTGAACTTTCTGAAGACCCCATATATGTGACACTGTCTTAGTACTGTTTGATTTCTGGTTCTTACATAGATGCAATCTACTTAGTAGTAAACCAATGGAAGCCAAAAGGAAAATCTTACTTACCATCACAGAAAACCATGAGAACTACGCATGACAAACAGAATACTTAACAATGACTCCTTTGAATAGAGTGAAACTATTAGTATATAAACAAAAATTAAAAATCTTAGTAATAGTTTAAAATATGTAGCCTAAATTAATAGTAGGGTAGCTGTGAAAAATATTTTAAAATAACAGAGTCATTTGAGAAGCATTTTAGGTATGTGTTTAATGTGTCAACATTATCCACACACAGGACACTTGGAAACTTAGCTATTCCCACTTTCAACCTATTTAAACAGGTAAGAGTTTAATATGTAATGCTCTATTATTCTGTCATTCCCACCTGAGACACAAAACATTTTCCTTTCATGCAAGAGATTTTAGTTGCAAAACCAAACCTTACTGCTTCCTTCAGAAATTAAACCTGCAATATTACACACTGAGCGGAGATTCAACTTTTTGAAGTTTTTGCATATTATAAAACTGAGTTCTCTATGGACTATTATGTGCCTTCACTGTTCTTTTATAGTGAGGAAAAAGTCACCACCCATATGAAATTGTGAGTTGATGAAAACACAGAAGTCTTTAACTGTAATCGTCTGCTACAGGGCTCAGCTGGTAATTTATTTTCTCAGTTTTATAAGCCTCTTTCTCGTCAACTTTATCAAACTCATTATTCTTTACATTTCATCTTTCTTTATGTTTCATAATATCCAAATATGATCATTTAGTTTTTTCCTAACTATAAAAAGAGAGTGATCAAAAAACTCAATGTTAGTCTCAACTTTAAAATAGCAGTATTATTTAGGGAGATACAGTACAGTAGGATAAATAACCAGTCTATCAGAAAAAGCCCATTGAGAGACCAGCAGGTGTCATGGTGGTTAAAGGCACTGGACTCCCACATGGCTGATAGCAGTTCGAGTCTCAGACCTGGCAGCTTGCTTTCTCACTTTCTTTTTCTCTCTCTTTCTCTCACTCTGTCTCTCTCTGGTCAAATTAAAATAAACAAACAAATAAAATAAATTTATATAAAAAAATTCAAAAAAAAAAAGAAAAAAATGCCCATTGAAGAAAAAAGGAAAAACAATGTATTCTGTTTGGTTTAAAATTAAACATGTATGTATATACACAGGGACATATGTGTGCAAATGTACACACACAGAGACAAAAAGCACTACATTTCATTGACAATCACATTATAGTCTCAAGCAGGTAAAAACTCTATTAGGCCTAATTCGCAAGGGAAAATTCTTTGAAATATAAAAATTGGTATGGTACATGCTTTCATGTCATTGGAATCAAGCCATTCCTCTACCATTGGTAATGAAAGGTGATGTCTATATTTCGTAACAAATCAGAAAACATAAAAGTCAATGTTTTTACCAAGTTACAATCGGTATTAAGTCTCAGCAGTTAATAATTCGCACGCATTCCAGTCTCTGTCTAAAAAGCAGAATGGGAAGGATGGTGGTGAGGGTAAAATGAGTTGCTCTGCAAGGCTGACCCACGTGGTGAGGTTCTGAATTGGCATCGTGAGATCTCTGAGTATGCTAGGCATGTTTACGCCTGTGATACAGGGCAGGCTGGGGATGGATCACGGTGTCAAAACCCTATTGGGCCTATTGACTCTCTGTCTTGCTCACAGAAGAAAGAAATAAACTTTAATAA